AAAGGAAAAAATTGATTATGGAACGTTTTACTTTAACAGGATGAATAAAATATTTTAGGACAAGGTGTTCAAATATTTTCCAAATCATTTCTAAAAAATATGTATGGTATTAAAGGTAAAGGTTCCCTTGCTCGAAAGCCAGTCGAGTCCGACTCTAGGGTTGCGGTGCTCATCTCCGTTTCAAAGCCGAAGAGCCAGCGCTGTCCGAAGACGTTTCCGTGGTCATGTGGCCGGCATGACTAGACACCAAGGCGCACGGAACGCTGTTACCTTCCCACTGAAGTGGTACCTATTTATCTACTTGCAATTTCTTGCTTTCGAACTGCTAGGTTGGCAGGAGCTGGAACTAGAGACGGGAGCTCACTCCATCATGCGGCAACCCGGGTCTCAAACTGCTGAACTACTGACCTTCCGCAGCCTGCAGTTCAGCATCTTAACCACTTGAGCCACCACAGCTCAAGTATGGTATTAGATTGATCTAATTTCTGTGCACTGAGGACAAGCAAGTCCTAGGTTACAAACTGAACTCTCCAATGCATTTCTTCCTTTAGGAGGTGCTATTGTCAGAAGAAAAGAAAAAGGTTTCAGTTTTGTTTTTGCATGTGGGTGGGTATTCTGTTTGTAATAATTGTTTGGATACGCTATATTTTTAATATGCTAGTTGTGATAATTTCATGCCAAGTAAAAATGTCCATAGTCATATTTTATGTTCCTAAAGTAACAGAATGACTTTCAATCTTGAAAAGAAAAAAGAAGTACTAATGGAGCATTTTTTAAAAAAAAATTCCGAAAATTTCCGTTTTTCCCTGAGGGAAAAAACGGGGGAGGGGGGACGTTTTTTTCCCCGAGCTTCAAAATTTCCGGAAATTTTACATCTCTAATTAAGGCAGAGGTGTCAAACTCATTTATTACAAGGGCCGGATCTGAAAAAACTTTGTTGGGCCAGGCCATGTGCGCCATAAAATGTAACACAAGGTATCAGAGATACAAACTTTACAAAGATGATTTCAGATGCTGAATGGGAATAGCAGGCGTGATTGGATTAGGTGTGATATGCAGAGGCGTGGAGATATCAGCAGTGGTAATGAGACAGGAAACCTAGGTCTCAATTTGGTACAGGAGGATTCAGTGCAGGAAGATGCAAAGAATAAATGGAAATAATTCTGAAGAAGTGAGCAGTGACTCTACCACAATTTTGTTAAGTCTTTAAAGGTGCTACCGGACTCTTTCTACTACTATTACAAACCACAATATTCAAAAACCAGTGGGGAAACATTTTAACCTTCCAGGGCATTCAGTTGCTGACCTAAGAGTAGCAGTTCTCTTACAAAGGAATTTCAAAAGGAGATTAGATAGAGAGACTGCTGAATTGCAACTGATCATGATGCTCAAGACAATGCAAACTCCTGGACCGAATTGAGACCTAGGTTTCTTCTCTCATTACCAATGCCTGCTATTGTCTTTTGGCATCTGAAATCACTTCACTCTCAAAGAAATAAGGACAGAAGGACTCACATTCCAGCTGTATCTGAAGAAGTGAGCAGTGATTCATGAAAGCTCCTCCCCTGCCACAAATGTTGTTAGTCATTAAGGGGCAGCTGTGCTCTTGCTCCCTTTCATTAATAACGAATTCAAGCTGTGCTGTTAGGTTTCTTCCCCCCATCCGTTAGAAATGGAAAGGGGGATCTTTCCAAGTGCCATGCCCCCCCCTGGAGTGCTCTCTCTGGGTCTCCCCCCCCCCGAAGAAGTGTGCTTGCTCACAAAAACTTATACCTGGGGGAAAAAAAACATTTTGGTCTTAAACACAAGAGTCTCTCTCTCTCTCTCTCTCTCTCTCTCTCTCTCTCTCTCTCTCTCTCTCTCTCTCTCACCTGGAATAAAGCCTTTTTTGTCTTAAACGCAGGACACATACCTGGACTGTCTCGCACACGCACACGCACACACACACTCACACACAGCCCTGGAATAAAATGTTTTTGGTCTTAAACACAGGAGACACACTGTGTGTGTGTGTGTGTGTTTCTGGCATGCTTTCTCTCCTCTGAAGCAGGAAGCAGGAGAGGCTGGGGAAAAGGAGCTGTGATGTTAGAAACAGGAAACAGGAAGCAGCAGAGTCTGTTGCTCTCGAGCTGGATTGGAGGCTTGCAGGGGTTGGATAAGGGCTGTGGGTTGTATATTTGACACCCCTGCATAAAGGCCTTTGTAGCATAACCAGGTGTCTCCTGCACAGCCACATTAACACCATCACCATCTGAGATAGGGAAAATACTTAACTGTATGAGCTTTGGGTGTACAGAATGGCAGTGTCTTCAGTAGGGTTGGCAGCTCTGGGTTGGGAAATACCTGGAGATTTTTGGGGGGTGGAGCCTGAGGAGGGTGGGGTTTGGGGAAGGGAGGGGCTTCAATGGAGCATAATGCCACAGAGTCCACCTTCTGAAGCAGCCCTTTTCTCCAGGGGGACTGATCTCTGTCTCCTGGGGATCAGTTGTAATAGCGGGAGATCTCCAGCAACCACCTGGAGGTTGGCAGCCCTACTCTTCAGTCCAAAACAGTCCAGTGGCACCTTTAAGACCACGTTTTATTCAGGTACAAGCTCTCCCTCCTCTGCCAGGACAGATCTGCATGTTCTTCCCCCCCAATAGCTACCAATCCAAATCATTTGGCAAATGATTACTTTGAGAAATTCCTGGAGGTTTGGGGGTAGTGCCTAGAGAGGGCAGAGTCTGGGAAGGGGAGGGAGCTCAGGGGGACGAGGAAGTCGCTCTAGGACATGTTTCTCCTACACCCTATGTTATAACAGAGAGCCTGGCCTCTGAGGCGGCCATTTCCTCCGGGGGAAGTGACCTGTGTAGTTGGAATTCTGAGAAAACTCCAGACCCTGTTCATTGCTGGTAACCTGAAGGAGTCAGTGCCCCTCAAGTAACTGAATTTACACAAATCACAGCAAACGCAGTCCCAGTTACTTGAATCTATAGGCTGTTTGGTTCTTCTGCTTCATTCCAAAGAAGCAAAAATCTGATAACGAAGTGATTCATAAGGCAGTCAATAGGAAAAATGGAATGGGAAGTAACTTTGGGGTAGAAATGATCATGAGGGAGAATTCTACCATCATAACAAAGGGAGAGATACAAGCCCCCCCCCCCCATTTTTGCCCCCAGAACAGGTACTGGAACAGCAGTATTTTACTTTGTTCATTAATGATCTGAAGTAAAGATGGAAAGCAAGGTAGCCAAGTCTGCGGATATCAGATTATTCAGCATGGTGAAAGCCCAAGGGATCTGTAAAAAAAACCACTCCCATGCTACTAGAATCAATTTCCAGTGAAGCTAATAAAAAAACTAGTATGGTGTAGTGGTTAAAATGTCAGAGTAGGACCTGGGGCATCCAGGTTGGAATCCCCAGTCAGGCCACGGAAGCTTGCTGGGCCAGTAACACGTTCTAACCTACCTCACATGGTTGCTGCAAGGATCAAGTGGAAAAGGGGAGAATGTGCTAAGCCACTTTGGATCCCCATTGGGAAGAAAAGGGGGTATAAATGAAACAAAATAAATGCATAAACAGCAATATGTTCAGAAGACACAAACATTAGTGCTTTATACAACACTTAATTATCCCATAGCGTTTCATGTGTGTTAACAGCAACTGTTGCTAACAGCACCTCAGCCTACAGTATAACCACCAACATCATTTTAGTTTTGAAAAGATTTTGGCTTTGTAATGTGATTGGATCAAATTGCAGAAGCCAAGACCAAAAATCTGAGAGTCATAGTTTAGAACCTGAGCTGGATAACTGAATTGTGGAAACCACAGCTCACCTTCAGTGTCTAAAGGATGCCTGGCATTTGAATACCTTCCTGAAAATTACAGAACAGCCTTAGAAAACTACGAGACCATAGAGGCAAAGATATATAGAGAGATTCCACATAGGCACCTCAGACCTATTCGGATCCCATTCACTGTAAGTTCCAAGGCCATGTTCTTCCTTCACCAGAATGCAACCCTGTAAACCCCTCTGCCACAGGTTTGAAGAAATGTGCTGTTGCCTTGGCATTGAGGGAAAGCAGCTCACTCTGTGGTGAATGATCTAGCCTCTTTGGTATATTTAAAGAAGGGCCAGGAGGAATTCCAGGGATTTTTGTGGTGAGATAAACAGAACTCTTGACCTCTTCCACCGAGAAAGAAGTAGTAGCTGCTTCCACTGCAGTCACGGCTGAGGTTTTAAAGTAAGGGGCCAGTGGGGAAACTTCTGAAGATTCCTGTCTCACACATCCACTCCTGGCCCCCCACCCCACCCCTGCTATTTATTTACTAGCACCTTAAACTTCTAGATCTCCTGACGAGGATCTCATTATGGGATAGCAAATGGAGCTGGTGGGGCATGATCATACCCACCCACTCCCCTCCCACTTCCCTCCCAGTATTGATAAGGCTCGGAGTGCATACAGCGCAAGGCCAACCCCCCCCAATGGGGTTGGGGGTTGGGGGGGGGGGTGGAACAGCAGCTTCTGATTTGGTATACAAGATTTCTCAGACTGTCAAAAAATGGACAAAAGTCCTCAGAAAGATGGCAGAACGCTCAGAGTGTACTTACCACCTAACAGCAAGCTCATGGCAATCTCCTTGTTTCGGTCCTCATTTCCGGAATATGCTTGTTTTTACATAATTCTCAAGGTCTCCCAGCAAGGAATGAGGCTTGAGCACTCCCTTTTCATGTTTACTCACGGCAGAATTCACCCATTTTCATATCTCCGAAGATGGGTTTACACCTCCGTCTGTCCCACAGGCCTCTGATGTTCTCTCTCCCACCCACCCTTCTCTTTCCAAAGAGTAGCAGGGAAACAATAGGCGAAAGTCAAGGAATATTTACTAACTGATAATCTCTTCACGTACTGCAAGCAGCCTGTTTTTCCCCCGACCGATAAAGATTTCAGAGCCAACCACTTTTGCCAACCAAAGGGGGGGGGGGACTGTTGAGTATAGGTTTTTATCTTAGCACTTACCATTCACCTGCTGGGGGGAGTACGCTTCTGATCCAGAGTCCGGGGGAGAGTCCGGTAAAGTGCTGAAGAGCAATGGAGAAAAACGGGGGGGGGGAGTCAAACTAGCGTCTAGCAAAATTGATAAGGTAAAAGAATGCAAAATATCCTTCAAATCTGGGAGGGGGTTAGGGGTAGAAAGTAACGCACAGTACTAAGAATAACCCCATTGATGGAAGCACCCCCCACTGGCAGAGCCCAGCAATTGAATCCACATGCATTTTCCTTGGATAGTTTCCCCATGCCGTCCTTTCTAAAACTGAAAGGAATGTGAGCGCCCTAAAGATAGATCTCTCAGAACCAAATTTCTCCTAACTCTTGTTTGTAAAAGAGTAAATAAGAACGGAATATTTGGGAGTTCCCCACACCTAACACCATTCAATCACACAGTACAGCAACTCCTACTGAGAAAATCTGGGATTGCTTCAACTGGATTTCTCACCCCCACCCCCAGTCCCTGTCCTATAACATTTCCACAGTGAGCCCTTTGATTTTATTCATAGGCATCTCATTTCATGGCCATTTTGTCAATCCTAATAAGACTTCTCTCTTTGGCTTGAAGCTCATGCTCAGCTAAAAACAGCCCACACAGAAACGTATCTGTTTCCCAGAAAAGATAATTAGTGTCACCACAAATACAGAGGAGGCTTTTGGGGAGCCTGGCTTGATTCCGAAACCTGACCCATCCAAGCAAAAATGGTCATCTTACGCGCTAGACTGTGTCACCATCACCATTGTCATAATCACTGCCTATATGGGTCTATGGGAAGCAACAGCGCTAGCAATAACAAAGCTATTCCAGATGTGAAAGAAGGAAGAACCTGATCACAATCTGGCAAAAGAAAACCAGGTATATCAAAGCAATTTCTATCAACATTTTACAAAGAAAGGCGGCTTTTAAAACTGCTCCTATACCATATTTTTAATTTCTTTATATTGCACCACCTCGATTCAGAATGGGACTGTGGTGCACGGAGAGCGGCAGGGCTCTTCAGACTCCTGCCCACACTGTTTTCCTGATCTAAAAAGCCCGAAGGGGCAGCCATTTCCCCTGATGAGGCTCCATGTGCCCATTGGGAAAGCACTTGAGTTTTCCCAGTGGACAAATAATGCACCCTGGGGCCATTTCGATTTTTGGGGGGGAAATGTAGGGCGAAAGGCTTAAATCCTCTCTCCTTGAGCACTGTGGTCCTATTCCAAATTGAGCCGATGTGAGTCTGGGATTAACTTCCCAGCTCAAAACATGTGCATAAGAAAAACAGAATTTGTAATGAGGACCATTTGAGATATCTGAAACCTATGGCAGATCTACTTGAAGACAACTAACTTCCACTGTTGAGTCCCCTCAAAATCTATTCCCTGCCATCAAATACATTCAGTACCACCACTATGAGAGTGTCTTCCAAAGCTCCTAGCTGGTCAATGAGTTCAGTTCAGGTCTAAGACCTTGACTCTAAACATACCTATCATGCAGAATGAGAGTCAGGTAAACAGAAACAAGCAAGATGAGACAGAAGGGCTATAGGAGGAAATGAAGCTGATATGCAGTCGACCCAAGTACAAATGGGTTCATGTGAAGTCACCTCAGGATAACCCTGTAGTTTCCAGTCTGCTTAGCAATGCGAAGGCCTGGGGGGGGGGACTAGAAAAATGGGGGAAAGTTTGTATGTTTTTTCCCCCTTGTGGAAATAATAAATGATCAGGCCTCAGTGTTACACTGGACATGTGTGAATATTTGCCATTCACATAAACTGCATAAATTGCTGGCAACATGAATAAAGAGGGCAAGGGATAAATAGAGTATGGAGAGAGCATTATCCTATTGGTCCAAGAGCCATTGTTACATTCCCCTACTCACTGTTTGAAAATGTGTAAGAGGGCGATAGAAAATGGTTACATACCTAAGCTGTCATAGTGGAGGAACAGTCAGCTACAATTTAGACACACCAAGAAATTCTCAAGCCATTGGGCACATCTTAGCAGTCATTCACGGAGTGCTCCCATACTGTGCTCAACTCGCGGTTATTAACAGGAGTGGCCATTATGGGTTTATTTTAGCAGTGGTCTGGAATAGTACTTGTGGCAGAATGGCCCCATTGATCCACAAGCGCTGCTCTGTTCAGCCCTCCAGCCCTGAGACACAACACTCCCCTGGCCTGCCTGACCCTCAGGAAGGATTTATCTTCTTCTTTCAGTACTGCTGCCATCAACTGGCCATTTTAGGAATTACCCACCAAGAAGGCTCCCCTTGCCATGCTGCTCCCCTTCCCATGCTGCTGTTCTAAGGCCACGCCCAGCCCTGTAGCTAACAATGTTTTGCTCAGGGGGGCAATGTTTTTCTCGGGGGGAGGCCTGCCATTATATGTCTGTGCAGTACTGCCATACCATGCTCATACTTCTAAATAACAAAATATTAAATAATAAATACAATAAATAATAAATAATAATACTTGCATTAAAGTTGTGAGCGAGCAATTTAGCTGCTGCATAAATTAGTTTGCTCTGGAGCCCCATCCTTCCTGAGCTAAGACAGAAACGTATGAGCCAGAGGCTAAGAACCTGTGAGCTAGCTCACACAAACCCAGCTTAGAGGGCACACTGGCGGGGACTCAGGCTCAGCTCCTCCTTCTGTCTGTCCCCTCATCGTCCTGCTGGGGGTTTTTCCAGGGGGACTTCTTTGGCACAAGGGGGTTCCATCCAAATGGAGGGGGCGGAATGCAGCCATTGTGAACCCCCGGCTGGGACGTGGAGTGTGGGGGGCAGTCTAAGGAGCAGCATGAAAAACGAGACGCTACTGGAGTCGGACTGATTCTGCCACTCCGGCAGCATTCTGGGGCTCTTCTACCCGGCAACAGCTGGGTCAGCACCCGGAGCCTTTTCTCATTGGCTGCCTCGGCCTGTCCTCTTCCATCCCCCTCCGAAGGGCCAGGACAGGGCTCCGTCTGACTCTGGTGCCTCTGCCCAGCCCCTGCTATTGCTCCTATAGCTGCCTGGACCTCCCTCCACACTGGACTTCTCCCACCTTGACGAAGGCAGCAAGAATGGGAGACTTTTGGGGGGGCCTGTGGCTCCTACTTCTCCTCCTGAGTGGGCTTCTGGTGGTAGGTAAGCCCACCCCACCCAGGGGGAGGGCCCTGTAAAAACCATGGGGGGCGGGCCCCGTGGGCACCCCCGTGGGCCCCGCAGTAGCTATGGGCCTCCTCCTGGCTGAATGAGGGCCGGAAGCGGGGCAGCTGGAAGCAGGGGGTGGGGCTTTGTCATGTGCCCCGCCCCCGTACCTCACCTGGGGGAATTGCGATCCCCCGCGATCCCCCCCGAAATGACCTCTGACTGCAGGCCCAGTCAGGATCACGACCTTGTGGCATTTTAAAATTACTTGAAAGCAGTGACAGCTTCATATCTGGTTTGGCCCTAAGATGGTACTGCACCAGACAACTTTATGCTTCATTGTGGTTCAACAACAACAACAAAATAGGGGGGGGGGGGCTGTGGCTTCTGCTGCTCCTCCTGAGTGGGCTCCTGGTGGTAGGTAAGCCCACCCCACCCAGGGGGAGGGGCCCGTAAAAACCATGGGGAGCAGGCCCCGCGGGCCCCGCAGTAGCTACGTGTTTGACCACGCCTCATGCCTGCATCTCCTGCTATGCAGCAACTGGTTATACCACAGTTATGGTTTACTGTACTAGGAGGTAATCAGGCTCAGCTGCACTGCTGGCTGGAGATGGAGTTCCTGCAGCGGTCCTGTGCGTTCATATTGCGTTCACCACATGGGTCTGAGGTGGGATTGTGCACCACTAGTCTTGCACGTCACCTCCTTTGGATCACCTCAGGCCGGGCCTTCTACTGCTGCTGTTCCTGCAGAGGGGGAATGGGTGCTGCTGGACCATGGGCTTGGGTCTGAGACCTACTCAGTGAAAGCCTAATAGCTATATTGGGGGGCAGCATCAACGACTTGCTTACAGGCTCTGACAGGGTGGCTTCTCCCACTGCTGGGACAACTGCCATGCTAGGTTTATTTATTTACTTACTTATTTATTTATCCGATTTATACCCCACCCTCCCCGCCAAGGCTGGCTCAGGGCACCTCTCCCTGCTCCCATTGGTCCTCCTCGGCCAATGGCCTTGGCTCCTCCGGGTTTCCCCCTGAGGACTCCAAGTGTGAGTTGCTGAACAGGTCAGAGGGCACAGGGTTGGATTTCACCGAGGATGAACAGAACCCCCTCAGATATATAACTATCCCCACATTAGAGATACATAACTGTGACCAATGAGCAAAAATTCTACTTTATGAGCTCCTGGCATTAAAGTTGCAAGCGAGCGATTTAGCCTTTGAGAAGCCGACTGGCCCGGAGACGCCCTGAGAAGCTGCGGCCCAGGTGGAATGGTAGAGCCGCGGCACAGGGTAAGAGCTGCTGGGTGTTCTTCGTAGGAGCCAGGGACAGCTCAACGGTGCAGATAATGCTGGTGGCTCGGATTGGCGAGCAGTGTGGGGAAGATCAAGGACTGCTGCACCCGGGGTCTTGTGACGCAGGGTGGCGGCGTAAAGGACATCGGTGTGGGCGTGGAGACGGGCCACGGAGTGCTGGGGTCTGGCATGGCAGCGCTGCAGCTGTGGGCTGCTGGTGGGCCCTTGTGAGTGCGACGTGGCAGAGAGAAGTTCGGTGGGGGCTCTCCCCCCTCGTTGTTGGGAGCCGACGGGGAGTGGCCTGCAGGGCAGGAGGCGACCATGGCTCTCGCGATTACCGCCGGGCTGGAGAGAGAGAAGCTCTGTTGCTGAGAGTGACGGGGAGTGGCCCGCAGAGCAGGGGGTGACCATTGGAGACCCCCCGACCACCGCTGGACTGGTGAGAGAGAAGCCCCGGCGGGCCCTCCCTCCCCCCCTTCTCCTTCCCCCTCCTGGTCTGCTGGGAGTGCTGGGGAGTGGTTTACAGGGGAGGAGTGCCCCGTGACTATCGCCGGATGAGATCACTGCTGGATCGGTGGGAGCTTTGAGGAGTGGCCCCCGGGTGAGGAGGCAGCTACTGGAGTG